TGAATCGCCATAAGCCGAGAACTTCTTTGCTGGAGTCGCGGTTAAAGTCACCTTCGTGTTGTCATTATTGATTGGGGTCCTGCTGTACCCGTCCTAGGTAACGGTGGGAGCATGGAAATGAAATCCTGCAGGGTGTCAGGTCTGCAGTGTCGAACAGGACACAGCTCAGGAAAAGGCCCTGCCATGCAGTGCCCCTGAATGCTCTGATTTTTCCCATCCCCATCTGTGGAGTGAAGACAGTTAATGGGACAGCAGCTTAACCTCCAGTTTTAGAGAGGGCAATAAATTCAGGAGAGACTTATAACTTGTAATAGCAGCATTTCTTTAGAGAAATAAATACTTGAATCATGATATTCCTGTAGTACCAACACTTGTTCTTTGTTGCTGCCTCCTCTGCGTTGACTCATGGGCAAGAGATGCACAAGTCACCCCATTTTAAGGCAGTTACATTTTTAACATCAAAGCCAGTCCATTTCCTCTTTTTAAGCAAAGATCCACACACATTTTCCTATGTAACAAGATGTGGATAGCCCTGGTAATGAGTCTGAAATGGCAGAAACTCTGAACACAGTGCCTGTAGCTGCCTCTCTTTCCCACAGGTTGTGGCTGTGTATGGGACGTTATCAGATTTGCTGTCTGTGGCGAGCAATAAGCTTGGAATAAAAGCAACCAGTGTTTACAACGGAAAAGGTGGACTCATCGATGATATCGCTCTGATTAGGTAAGGCTTACCCAATAAAAGTCAAATCACAGATGCGGATCAAGACACGCACTAGTCCATTAATCCTCTGACCATAATCAATATCCAGTGCTTTCCTTAAAAACAGATCTTATCATTTCCATCCCAAAAGTGCTTTCATGCCTTCAGGAAAAATAATCTTGTCTTTTTGAACTTCAAAGCATTTCTACCTTGCCAAATCAGAACTTGATACAAGCTGCATTTTATGCCTTTTAACGTCCTCCTGTGTTGATCCACATCGCAATGTGTGCACCAGGAAAACCCCACTGTTCCAGTCAGCACCTGGATGAGGTTTTTTTGAAAAGGAGGCAAACTCCAAAAGCAGCTGTTTTGTAAAGCTAAACTGGTTGAGCAGCAGTCGTGATCCCTACCTGGTCAATAGAGGTGGCGTCTCTGGTGAAGTCAGTCGTATCAGAGTCCACTGGAACCTGCAAAATTAAGATAAAAATCAGATACTGAAGCTCTAACTAATGGAAACTGATTATCACTTACCTGAAACTAATCAGGAGGAGAGTTCCCACTGTCAGATGAACCAAAAAATTATGATTACTATTTTTTTTTTTCAGGGATGATGATGTTTTGTTTGTCTGTGAAGGGGAACCATTCATTGGTAAGTCTCTGTAATGCTTACATTTAAACTTTTGCTTAATGTAAAGAGGTTTTGTTTTGCTTTAATGTAAGATTTTATTTTTTGGCGTTTTCAGAAGATACCTCTTACCATATGGAGAATTCAGAAATATTCACCATTTTTCTAATAATGACTTTGTCTTTCTCGTGTGTAGATCCTCAGACTGATGGGAGACCTCAGGAAGAGCTAACAGGGTCACACACAGATTGGTTAACCCTCAATGTTGGAGGCCGATACTTCACCACTACACGGTAAAAATGCAGCTGGTTGGTTTTGTTCTTAAAGGACCTGGTTTCAGTAAAGTAGTTATAGCAGGTGGTTGTGTACATTCGGTCTTGAAAAAGAGCTAGAAAAATAATTTACTGTGGAGTAGGAGGTCTTTGAGTCCTGCAATTTTCTCTGTGTTCTGTTATTTATCAGAGTTTTTCAACGAATTAATTCTTAAACAGCTCACATATGAAGTAAAACTGGTGAAAAGTCTGAACAGGCCTGGGTTTATTCTTGGAATATTTCAGCTACCTAAGTGCTTTGTATTTAATGTACCTTTATGGTACCTCAGGTCACAGTTGTATTTTGCTGTCACACTATCTAGAATTACACCAGTGCAGTGTTGTAGCTGTTGGAATGCGTATCACGTATCAAGGGCAGAAAATAACCAACCAGCAAGTCTGTCTCTTGAGGAAAATACTCCATGTAAAACTAAAATTGCGCTGCCTTTGTTTTCTAGGAGCACTTTGGTTAATAAAGAACCTGACAGTATGCTGGCCCACATGTTTAAAGATAAAGGTTAGTGTATTGAAATCAACTTTATTTTTTTAAGCTGACAAATTAGCCAAGTAGGCAAAAGGCACTGCCAAGTTGAGACTCTTGTTTGTATGTTAACATATCAAAAGTATGTTGAGGTATCAAAGCAGAATGTATAATCTGTATAATGTTTATTCCTCTGTTGCCCATGTAATGCTTAGCATCTCACAAACTAAAACTGTAACTTCCACTCGTAGTTAATATTTTGGGCTCTGTCTTTGTTCGATTTTAGATTTTCATCTTCTTGTTGCATCTTGCTCAGTTTTGTCAGTAGAATCAGTGGGCAAACACTGTATAAGACAGCCTTAAGGAAACAAGGGCAGACTGAAATCTTAACGCTGCTTTTATTCAAGCAGTGATTCTTATGTACGTGATAAAACATTTTAGTCAGTTATAGCAGGGGCGAGTGTGTTTTAAGATTATTTCCCCCCCCATGCTTATTTTCCTTCTTTTTTCTCTAAGAAACGCCCTTTCAAGTGGAATGTTTCATAATCCAGTACCTTTTGGTAGTAACAATCTGAAGCTGAAGCAAATGCTCTTCTATTAATATATCAAATTTAATTATATATATGTTGTGGAAACAGATGCTTGGGGAAATAAGCAAGATCATAGAGGAGCATTCCTAATTGACCGCAGTCCAGAGTATTTTGAACCAATTTTGAACTATTTGCGTCACGGACAGCTCATTGTAAATGATGGCATTAATTTGCTAGGTAGGTATTACCTGTGTGACATCTCCTAAATTATTACTCTTTAGAGGCTGAACTTTGCCCTCAGGTAAACGTGGTAAAGTCGGTGGGACTTTTGTATGCTCATCTAAATGTTTGGGATTTTTCTATGGTGAATTTATTCTCAAGCACTGCAATTCCTCATGCTTGGTTTAATGAAGATCTACTGTTTAAACTTAATTATTATCTTGAGAGCATTAAAAATTCTCCACACTGGATTAATAGCTGGCTGTAATTCTGGGTCTGATATCTTTAACCTAATGCAGGTATTGGAAACATCCATTCTGAGTTACTTTTTCCTTTTAGCTGCAAGGAAGCTCACTTTTCCTCTCTTCAGTTACAGCTAATGCAGTGTATGTGGTTGCCAGTCTTATTAGCTCATGCCTTTCTTAGAGATGTGATCTGTTCATCTTTGTTAGTGTAGCTGCAATGTATAAAAGCTGTAACAAGTAGGGAA